TCTGTCAGGTGCACAAGTTAATTTTGATTGAAGTTCGTTTGTTAGTGAATAATGTCGAAGAAAACTTGATTTCTTTCTTTTTCATTTTTATTTATTTATAAAAACCGATTGCATATATCCTTGGGATATAACAAAATAAACTTTAGAAAATCCAAAAAGCCATTTCAGAGTTTGTTATGTTTTTGATTTAAGTATAATGCAAAAAGAATTTTGTAAATGTTATAGGAAAAATAAAACAGTTCAAACCAAAGTATACTTCATTTACTTTCTCTAGCGATGTGCCCCTTAAAATGTCTTGGATGCGCGCTGGCAAAAAAAAGCTTATTATACTCTCGACTCTTGTTCATTAAACATACTTTTTCATAGAGTACCTGCCAAAAGTTTTGTTCAATCATGAATAGTAGTGCGAGTCGAAAACGAGCGTTAAAGCCTTTAATATGTCTTCAAATATAAATAAACATCTCGTTGATATTTTAAGTAGTAAATGGTACCAATAATAGCACATTTGAGCAATGCAATTGTAGTGGATAAAATGGTCAATTTTTCCGTGCAGTACTGTACGGATTATACGCTCCTCACCGGTTAAGAGTTTGGCCGAGAGTTGTCTCCTTCCTTTTCTGGTCTTACTGCTGTTTTATTCTACTTTGCGCTGGTCAAACTGAAAGTTATATGGCTACGGAAAGTAAACGAAGTATATAGACTGTGGTATTTTGACGAAAGTAAAAAATGTTGCTATGATTTTTATAAAAGGTCTTGAAGCATTTGATTTTTTAATAAAAATAATATGTGCCCTTATATTTGTTGATTTAATGCTGTATATCAAAGAAACCACAAGTTTCCAAAATTTTGTTAGACTTACTATTACCATTACTTACATTATAGATGAAACCATTATTAAAAATATTATTACTTATATGTATGTACGAAGTTTTGAACGTACTCGCATAAATCAATTCCATCATGAATCACGAAATTCAAAAGCGGACGTCACAGCGTTTTTTCGTTCTTTACATTGAACGGTAACACGAAGTTTATAAAAAATCGTTTTCCCTTACCTTATGCCGTAACATCATATTTCGTGAGGGGAATCTTATCGGCTTGTAACATGTCGGAAGACAAATAACGATGAAAAATTGCACGTTTGTATAGAATTCATACTTCATCAGATTGTATGTCTGCAACAAAAAAAATCATGTTTTTATAAACACACTGTTTATCATCTCACAAACAATAATACTAAAGTCACCTAGATATGTAAATAGCACTCTCAGATATGTTCATTACATGTATCAATGTGTTTAAGAAAATTATCGGTACAGTTATTTATCGAAAAGGACTATTTTATATGCGCACATCTGGTCCTTCAAGCCGGATTGGCGAAGTCTAAAGCTAAATTTCTGTCTTACACAATACAGATTAAATAATAGAACAGAAGTGTTTGTCTGTAATATTGGAATATTTTAGCTTACACTTTTTCTGTTTGCATAGTTGATCACTAAAAAAACCTTACTGTAACGGTATTTTATGATTAATTTGCATTTTGATTAGAAGAAAAAGATTTGCTCGTTGATTTTTTAAAAATAAGTTATAATAGACATAGAACCTTGGATTGTAGAAATTATTTCTTATATTTATTCCTCTGCATGCCAAGACAGAAAGGTACATAGAACCGTAGGTGTCTCATGACATGCAGCAGCCAGGCATCATAGAACTTTGAGGTATGATAATCTTAATTTTCGGAAGTTTATAACGTAGGACCCTATAATTCTAAGTAAGCCATGTATATAATAGTTGGAGATGAAAAACTAGAGAAAACCATCGATTTAGTCATCGAGAAAGTCAGATTAGTTAGGATGGAAAAAGCAGTAGAGACATAAACAAAGGCACAGGGTCGAGTCGCTTTTAACAAAATGAAATCACTTCAGGGTTCGCGATGGGTTAATTTAGAAACTCGAAAAGGATTGTTAAAAGCATTTGAGACATGGTGTTATTCGAGGACAGAAAACAAAATGAGAACAGAGGGTGTGGTGTTATGGTATAGGCAATAAGAAAAACGACAAATAAGAAGGCAGGACACCTTCGGAGATATAGTTATAGACATATAAACAGCAGAAACGGAAGTAAAGATGTTGGGAAGATCTGGATTTGATTGCTTTTTACAAAATTGAGATGTGAAATATGTTGGGATATGCGAATTTTATATGTTTATTCAGAAATATAATTACTTTTTTTTAGATAATTTGGTCAACAATTTATTTGCAACTCAAATAATAATCCAATTATAATTAATAAATGATTTAATGATTGAACAGGATAAATAATTTAATAATAATATTAATCTACTTTAATGTTTGCCTACTTTATTATACAATTGGGGAATGTAGAATATGACAGGGAATCTTGCCAGGATGGGTGAAGACGGCAAAATGCTTCACCACCTTGCCCTGCTTCATCACCCTGCCTTGCTTCTTTCTTGTGAGTCTTAGATCTTTCTATTCGACTCCTCTTATTATCGTTTATTCTGCTTTAAACGGTCGCCAATTGACCTACTAACCCATTAAGTAGCAGGTGTTAGCTAGCAATTTTATTAAATAATTTAGATGTATCAGCTTTTTACCAATTACCTACATAAGAATTTATGGATACTGCTTAACCAGATATTCTAGTTTTCGGGAAATACAGAGATTGACTCAGGATTAAAAGAAGTTGAGGCGTATGTTCAATCGGTCTTTAAACCGAGTGGCCATAATTTTTGGTACGCCTTGAAATTAAGCGATGGTTGTTGCCGTTTCCATTTCTTACAAGTAACAGATAAACTGTAAGGGATATCGTGAATATTTTGCGAATGTTTTGTATTCGTTCTCTCGAGCCTAAACCTTTCAACTTAATTAAAGGGCGAACAAAGTAGAAGGTAAAATCACCATAAAAAGATCGTAAATACTAGGAACGGAGCAATAAAAATCGGAAAATAATTCGAGCCGAGCTTCCTGGCGAGTTCGCTAATTGCGCATTTTTCTTACTCATCTGCAGCAAGAATTGAACATCTCATCGGCAACGGCAGGGGTGAAGGTCCCATAAATTAGCGTATCATTCACAGACAAGAGCGGGTAAGCAACATTAATTGAAAATATGTTAATAAATGTTTTAGCACGGCCAACTTTAATTTCCTTGAGAAACGTGTTGCTTTCGGTTTTACGTTAGAGACTAATAACTTCATTAAACGGAGAAATACGTGTTGCACAATGCGATTACTCTTTTTTAAGCACAATTACCGACAATACATAATAAATGTACGAAATTGCTATTATTATTTTATAGTTTTCGCGACTGAATTAAAACAAATTAGCGTCGCTTTAATTTTCAAACAACTGACGGTAAATTAAATGTGTCATGTACCATAAACGTAAAAAAATGGGCCCAATGCCAACTTGTTCACTTTTGTGTAAATAAAACAACCAGGCCGAGTAACTCTCTTCTGTAAGCCCTGTCAATTTCAAAATAACAATTTTCGTCCATGTATTCTTTCGTAATACAAAAAACAAAGAAGAAAATGCACCCTCCGCTGTAAAATACTAAAAACATTGTACACTAATGGTTACAACCTAAATGTAGACATACGTGTACTTACATAAAGCCATTATCATTAAAGAGTTACATATTAGGTAAAAGTAACTCATACTTATCTGCGTTTCGTGTACTTATAAAAGTAATTACACTTTCATCTATATATTTAAGTATTTTAATCCCATTACTTTTAGCTTACGCATAAAATCAAGAAGGGAAATTATGTGTTAGTAATATTTAGGATGTTATCCTTTTTCAAATAGAATTTTTAACTAAAAATCACGAACTGTGACATGCTGGGCGCGCTTAAACATCAATATTCGGTAATATAGATTCACATATTGATTGATTGATTATTTCTTGGTACTGTATGAAAATAAATAAAAGTAAAACTAAAATACTGGTATGTAAGGGAAGATAATGTAGGGAAAGAGCGGATATAAAGATAAAAACTGGAAGAAGTGGCTGATTTTAGATATCTAGGAAGGCAGATAAGTCAGGATGTAAGAAGTAGTAGGGATATAAAGCAGACGATAGCGCAGGGTCGTGTCGCTTTTAATAAAAAGAAGTCACTTCCTGTGCTCGCAAACGATTAATTTAGAAATTCGAAAAAGATTGTTAAAGGTGTATGTTTGGAGCACGGCGTTGTACGGGTGCGAAACATGGACAGTGGGCGCGACGGAAAATAAAAGGTTAGAAGCGTACGAAATGTGGTGTTATAGGCGGATGATGAGGATAACGTGGGTAGAAAAGGTTAGAAATGAAGAAGTATTAGAAAGAATAGGAGAACAGAGGACTCTATGGAAGTCAATAAAAAATAGGCGAGATAGGTTGGTAGGACACCTTCTCAGGCATGAAGGTCTAGTCAGAGACATATTAGAGTCAGAAACAGGAGTTAGGAGGGGTAGAGGTAGACCTAGATTAGATTACTGTTCGCAAATAGTTAAGGATGTGGGTTGTTCTAGTTTTAGGGAAATGCGAAGTTTAGCTCAGGATAGGAATGAGTGGAGGTACGTGTCCAACTAGTCTTAGGACTGACGACCTTATGATGATGATGATGCAGCATCGATAGTGTTGCCCATACGTCAAAATTTGGACGGGTTGAACTAGTATAATGTATAAAGCACCCAACCACGTTTACAGAGTTTGATTTTTTGGTAATATAGCTAGACACTTATTTAATGTCTCTGTCCGTATACATTAAGCGTTATGGTTGGATGTAATGAAGAGTAACGGTAATTAATGTGGTTAAAGTAAGAAAAACAAAAAAAAACTAAGATACAACGATTGTCATTATCATTCCTTAGGCACCGGCACCCCGATGTTTCGTTGAAAATTAACAGACGTTTAAGTTAATATCGTATATATGTAATTATGTATTTTTTCTTCTGCTTCCTGGTGGGTTCACTAATTGCACATTTTTCTTCTTGTTGCAGCAGAAAGTGAAGTTCTGGTTCGCCACGGGAGGTGCCGGATTTTGCCTCAGCCGAGCCCTCGCGCTGAAGATGGTGCCCATCGCCAGGTAATTTATCTCGCAACCGAGCTTTTAATTAAACTTTGATGATACATCACTATCATCGTGTATCGATGGAGTTATTATTGCTCTCAGTTTCGATAATTAATACATTCCAGCGGTTATCAATTAATTAAGTAAATGAAAAGTTGATAGGAACGCGCATAGTTATATTATAATAACTCTGTTTCGTTCCCTCTATAAAAGGTCAATCAGGTTTCCTAACATGGTCAACACGGCCGAATTAAAATTTTTATAACGGTGATTTTACAATTCATAAAACATAATAGAAGGTAAAGTACAGGTAAAGGTTTATAAAGTTGATCATCCAAATAATACGTACTGTTATGACCTCTTACTCTTATACCTACTAGTAAATTGGTACAAGTTCTTACGAAATTAATTTAACTAGATCATAAATATTACTAGTGTAATTGACGTATTTTTTTAAAATGATTTCTATATGAACCAAACTGAAGTTATGAACCCATAGTATAAATAAAATTTTCCAACATTTTTTGGTTTTAGCTTACAATTATTAATTAGTTGTTTGTAAAAGCGACTATTTGCGCTGAAAATTCTTCTCTCTGTGCTTTCTAACGCGAATATAGAACTATTGGAAAAACAGCGTTTATAAAAATATTGCTATTGCATAAAAAACACTTAAATGGTTTTAAACTCAACAAAACGCTCTTTAATGTTTAATTACTCTTGATAAGCCGAAATATATTGAAATTTTAGAAGTTTTGTTGTGTTTGATCATTAGTTTTAACGATATTTCAAATTTTCCTACTGCAAGTTCTACTAAAAGTATTACGTATAGTTTGGCATTTTATTGTCCTAATTAAATATCAAACTGTCATAGAATTTACATGTTCTTTGAAAATACTTGAAAATAACGTTGTGCGACATTCGAAAAATTGTATGTCAACCCAAACGATAAGGTCTTAGTCTGAGTTTTTAAATATGTCATATTCAGTTTTATGTGCCTGTTTTTCACATTGTTATAACTGAAGAAGTTAGAATTGCACCAAGCACGATAGAGTTGCATAAAAAGGCTTAGGTATTATAAGTACCAGCTTTGACAATGCACTATATAACTGCTTTAAAACTAATAAAATAAAAGCAATCAATATAATTTTTCCTAGAGCTTAATAATTCCGAAACGGGATACGCACTCAAGCTTCTAATTATTTAGAAATTGGTAGAGGTTGTGTCTGACAGAAACATAATAGAGATGAACATGACCGTTTTTCTTGTTCGATCATGGAACCTTAATAGTTTTAAAAAAGATTTCTGCTATACGACGGAGTAAACAGATGAAACTCTAGCATTGCAATTCTATTTCAATCTTTTATTTAAGAAGAAGTGAAGTCGAAGATAATTTAAAGGGGTATAGGCAGCGGTTTTAATATAATTGGTCCCGAATATTTGCAAAATGCGTGCTGCTCCCGAGAGCGATTTTAACGAGACCATAAAATATGGTCTTTTCACCGAACTTCAAATTAGAAGCGCCCAGGTATTCCGTAATGAGATGTAGCGGCTCACTTTCAACTTCTTCGCCGGCCACTTGATACCCTGCTCGCGATTCCAATTCAAACAAACAGACTCGGTCACTTTTTTAACGGCCCTCGAAGAAGAAGTACCGGAAAATAACTGGGCTGCAAGTGTATAATTTTTATTGCACTGGTCAAAAATATCAATTAAATTGGCAGAGAGACCACGACAGTCGCCCTGGTTTATGAGGCAGATGTTCATGCTGCCTTCATTCGATACGACAAATGGGGGACATTTTTAATAGCACCTTTCCTTACAAGTTCGTAATGTTATGTATTTATGAAACAATACTATTTCAATTTGACGAAGTAATTAGATGTTACAAATAACACAAAAAAGAAAATACGACAATCAAATTTCGTATTTAACATTCAATTATTGAACGCTTTACTGGGAAATGATTTAAATTTTTACTTTAAGACTAGGGATCCCGAATCTATAATTTGAAATTGAAAATATATTTTTCTTAACATGTTCTATTTTTTATAACAATTTAATTTCTGCGTACAATTTATGATAAATGGAAACAAAAACAACATGTAGTTCTATCGGACGTAGATCCTCGATTTCGATTTATTGGTTCTCATCAGCACGCCAGTTTTGACTAATTACCGAATTTTCTCCGTAATAGTATCAAGAGAAGATATTGGCAGTACATCGTCATCAACTGATATTTATGTATACCTTTTACAATGATGTACTTATGAAAGAGGAACTCATTGATGTTTAAGTTCGAATTTATGAAGTTTTATGGCTTTCAGAATACAAGAAACTGGATTTTGCACAACAAAGCACGTTTATAATAAAAGCGGTAAAATGGACTGCAAGTCGACCACGCTTTTATAAAAAAAAACTGCCGATGCTAGACATTAAGTTCAGAGACGTGAAGGAATGCTTGCGTTACTACTGACTTCTGATCAATCATTATTCGCCACACCTGCTTACGTCATGTTATGAATTTATTACTGCTGATTTGCATATGTGCACTTTATTTCTAAAACAAGACACGATACAACTGCACCAGCGATTTATTGTTCAAGGTATATAAATCCACTAAACTATATTATCTTAGAAAGTTTTAAACTACAATATATATCTCTATATATATATCTATATACAGTAGAACCTCGATAAGATAAAGACCAAGGGAAACGTAAAATAATTTGAGTTATTAAGGTTTTTACTTACTAAGGGTTTAAGTTTAAGCTTTAAAATTATAGATTTCCAGTGACTTAGCAAACTCTTCAGCGTTTTCCTTTAGTATAGGTCCACTAACACTAATGATTTTACATATTTCTACACCATCTGAACCATGTAAACAAGCATTTTTCTAAATTAGGAAATTCAGCAAATCTTCGTCTTTCAGATAGAAGACTTTCTCTCGATTCGAACCACTTTTCACTGCTTACTGAGGTGCGATGCCCAAATTATCCGTTTAAGTTATACAGGGTTTTTATTTTAAGTAATAGAGGTATTGGACTCCGAGAGGAAGGGAACACAAAATTTTATGAATTTATATAGATTATTACGTTATCAAGGTTCTNCATGTCTATCGAGACACCACTTATTGAGAGATTCGAGTCTCTCGTTCAGAGACTGGATACGAAATGAGGATCTCTCTATGAGCGACTCGAGTCTCTCGTTCAGAGACTGGATACGAAATGAGGAACTCTCTATGAGCGACTCGAGTCTCTCGTTCAGAGACGCTAAACAGTTTTTTTGACAGTCTCTTTCAGCACCACCAGAGAGACTCTATGATAGACGGAGACTCGAGTCTCGCTTTCAGAAACTCTGAGAGACTGAACATTTTTATCTCGGGTTCTTCCGATTCAAACCACTTTTTATTGATTACTGAGGTGCGATGCCCAAATTATTCGTTTAAGTTATAGAGGGTTTTTATTTTAAGTAATAGAGCTTTTGGACTTCGATGGGAAGGGAACACAAAATTTTATGAATTTATAGAGGTTATTACGTTATCGAGGTTTAAGTTATCAAGGTTCTACTGTATATATAACACAAATAAAATTGAAGTTTCTCTCTGCAATAATGTTATAATTAGAGATAAGACGGGTACCCGGTTTGAATCCGGAACCTTCTTTAGCATTCCGGCAAAATTACTACCCGGTGCATCTCTAATAGAAATCACTATCGTTTTTAAGTTCATCAAATGGTTATTTAAATGCTACTAATATGCAAAAACCTTTAAAAAAAACTGTCTGTCTCTACAGGTTAATCTTCGAAAGGGTTGAACAGATGTCAACAGGAGATTATCCCGAGTTTTCAGTCATATAATTTATTGTAGACTTCGCCTTCCGAAATTGACCCAACGATATTTTTATAGTGCACCACACGACAGTGCGTTTGTTGCATTTCTGGCAAAATAGTAAGACGCATAAAATGATACATATTCACATTTTATGCATGCGTGTTTGCTGTAAGTACTTACATACGTGGTACCTACCCACAATTCGCTGCTTGTGATAACTGTTTCATGGCTGCTGCTTTTATTATATGCGTCCGTTTTAATTTATGGCAGCGGGATAAAATTGCAGCTTTGCAGTTCCTGACTTACCATAGTAACCGTGCTATTATTTCGTTTTTACAAAAGTTAATATTACTACCTAGAATGCAACGCGGAAGTCACGATTGCTTTTGGAAAGGCTGGTAATCGGAAACGGTGCGTTTACATAAATGGAATAAATCCGATGGTCTTTTAACTACATATATACAATGTGTATGTGTACTGTTTCAGTATCAATAGCACAATGAATGCATTACACGTTATTGATCTTCACAAAGAAAAACTGCAATAAATAGATGAATTTTGGTTTCGGGTTGAATTTTTGTTAAGGATAAATAAAATTTACATTAGCTAAAAGTGTGCGTGCATAGAATTTATAGATTTAGAAAAAGTTTTTGAAAATGTTAAACGGGACAAGATGTTAAATGTACATAAAAATGTAGGGATGAGTTACAGAGATAGAAAAGTGATACTTAGTTTGTATAAAGAGCAACAGGCGGTTATAGAGCTGGAGCATCAACATAGAGAAGGAAATATTAGGAAGGGAGTCAGATAAGGATGCATACTGTTATCGCTACTTTTTAATCTTTACATCGAAGAAGCGATCAACATCATTAAAGACAGTACAACTGTAGGGATAGATATAGATAGGCAAAAGGCCAGTATGCTTAGATTTGCAAATGACATAGCAGTATTAGCATCTAGCAAGGAGTTAGAGATAGTTTTAAATAACATGGAAGCGGTATTGACAAAACAGTATGGCATGAAAATAAATAAAAGTAAAACAAAATACTGGTATGCAAAGGAACAAGAAGTAGGGAAAGATTGAATATAAAGATAGGAGACGCAAGATTAGAAGAAGTGGCTGATTTTATGTATCTAAAAAGTCAGAAAGTCAGGATGAAAGGAGTAGTAGCGATATAAAGCAGAG